ATCTCCTTTTAGCCTTCATTTGTCTTATTTTCATCTACATTTAGCATTTATTGCCTCAAAACAAGATTTTCTTCACCCTTAGATTGTGGATTCTAGAGCCTCAAATCATTTGACAAATTCCTCCTAGAATTTTGTATCTTATAATCCACGTCCTAGTACTAGGAAAATCATGTAGGGTGACGGGTCTGTAGCTACTGCGGCTAGTCAAGGGGATGTCAAATTGAGTGACAGTCTTCTCCTAAAAAATGCCTTGCATGTTCCTAAACTGTGCACTAACCTTATCTCTGTGAAAAAACTTGCTACTGATTCTAATTGTTATGTCCTATTCTCTTCTATCTCTTGTCTTTTTCAGGAGCAAGAGACGAATCAAATGATTGGACTTGCTGAAGAAAGAGATGGATTTATTTTTTGATGAGCCTAGTGAATGTAGTAAGATTCAAAGCTTGATGGCTTCCTCCTCTTCTCAGTCAAAAAGAGTCAAGTCTAGAAAAGTGATGGCTCTCTATATTTTTATATATTTTGAAGAGCTTTATTGATCTTTTAGAGATTCATCTAGTTATTTTTTGTTTATTTGTCTTGTGTTTAATGGTTATTTTGGTTTTAGTTAGCTTGTCTTGTAAATATTGTACTTTGATTTTGTTTTAGAGTAGTTTCTTTTGTTAATTTAAGTTATTTTGGATTTTAGAAAATTCTGCAAGAGCTTGGAAGAGGTGAAGAAGAAAAAAATAATGAATTTAATAAAGAAATTAAATTTTTATGAGCAGCCCCCATAGTGGGTCAGTATTATAAGGCAAATTCTGAACCAAAAACAAAGCCTGCTACAGCGAACCAGAAATGCACAGCATCAATTTTTAGATAGAAAAGCGAGAAAACGCGAGGGTTTGAGTAAGTTTGACTTTTGGGAAGTTCTTTAGACTAAAGGAGGCGACTTTGAAGACTGGGCATCGACCTAAGAGCTTGGAAGAAGAGGATTCATCCACATTTTGTGATTTCCTCTAATTTAATCTTGTTTTTCTCCTTCTCCTCCAATATTTCTGGTTTGGTTTCTTCATTTTGCTGATATGAGATTGAGTTTACCAATGTATAGCTAGATTTTCTTCATGACCTAAGCAACTACGAACTTGATTGTGTATTAGATACTATTTTCTCCAATTATTCTATGATTAATATTAGTTTTGGGTTACTTAATCTCATTTATTATGACTTGCTTGATGATTGGCCACCATTGAGTTGAGATTTAGGGGTTTAAGGTTTAACTTGAAAAAGAAAATCTTCAATAGACCTTGAGATTAGATAATATGGGATTAGAATTTATTCTAATTTGCCATTAGGATAGGAATATACCTCTTGGACCCATATAATCATATTAGAGTGTTATTGAATTTTTAATGCCTCTTAGATAATTGTGTTAACATTTGCATTATTATTTAAGAAAGGGTTGTAATTGATTCGAAAGACAATTTCAACTAATTAGACTCTAGATAAATCAAACAAAATTAATCTTAGGTAATTTGGAGGAAATAGATTCCAAGAAGTAAATAAGAGACTAGGAGCTCAAGTCATCTCTTTTATGAAATTGTTGTTTGGTAGAATTAATTGCATTTGAATCTTAATTGTTAATTTTTCTCATTTATAAACTCTCATGTGTAATTTGCTTAAAGTGAATAAAATGGGGAGTTTAATGCCTATTTGCCAATTTACTTAATTCTTTGTGGGATCAACCTTGACTCATTACTATATTGCATATTGACCCATATAATTGCAGCGTCCATTTAATTTTTGTGTGCATCAAAAAGATCTGATTGGGCTGTATCATCATCGTTAAGGTCACCCTTCGTTTAATGTTTTGAAAGCTATGTTTCCTTCTTGGTTTAAAGATGCACCTGTTGAGTCCTTTCATTGTGGTGTTTACGAGTTTGCAAAACATAAACGATCTTCATATCCTATAAGTAATAAAAGAACGTCTGTTCCGTTTAGCCTGATTCATAGTGACATTTGGGATTCCTCTAGCATCCCTAATGTTACCGGGTCTTAATAGTTTGTGTCCTTTATTGATGGTTGCACTCGTGTAACATGAATTTATTTGCTAAAACAAAAATGTGATGTCAGAACTATTTTTCCCACTTTTTATAACACGATTAAAACTCAATTTGGAGTTAGGATACAAAGGTTTAGGTCTGACAATGCAAAAGATTTTTTTCAATCAATCATTATCCATATTTTTTTCTACACATGGAATTCTACATGAATCATCCTGTGTTAATACTCCCCAACAAAATGGGGTGGCTGAGAGGAAAAATAGCTATCTTCTTAATGTTACTAGAGCCTTATTGTTTCAAACTAATATGCCTAAGCAATAGTAAGGAGAGCTGTTTTAACTGCTACATATATGATTAACAGACTTCAACCCCAATCCTTGTTTCAAAAAATCCTATTGATGTTCTTACCCAATTTTTCCCTAATTTTAATGCATCAACTAGTCTTATGCCTAGAATATTCAGATGTGTGGTCTTTGTTCATGTGCATTCTCAACAAAGGACTAAACTTGACCCTAGAACCCTTAAGTGTGTGTTTGTTGGGTATTCCTCTACTCAAAAAGGGTATAAGTGTTATCATCCTCCTTCTAAGGAGCTTTTTGTGTCTGCTGATGTTACTTATTCCAAATCTGATTCTTATTTCAATACCCCTCTTGAAAAAGAGAGCCCTCTTAGTGAGGATCAAGCTCATGATCCTCTTGTCAATGAACTTCTTAGTTCCTTACCTAGTGAGACCTTGGAAGCACCATCAACTTCTAAATCTACTCATCCACTACAGGTTTTCACTCAGAAGAAGAAGAGAATATATCAACTTACACAAGTCTAATCATTTGAAACGGCTCCTGCTCAAACTTCTGAACCCGTGCATAAAAATTGTGCGGTAACTCTTGACCTTCCTGAAAACACTGAAATTCCTTCAAGTTCTCATGGTGTTTTTGATAGTCAGGATGTAACTGAAAAAAATTCAGAACAGCTTAATTCAGATCTTCCTATTGCTTTAAGAAAGGAGACCCGCAGTTGTACTAAAAAATCCTTATCCCCAAATCTTCGTTTCTTTCCCACGAGAAATTATCTTGCAATCACGAAGCTTTCCTTACTAGTCTCCATCCCATCTCAATACTACCACAGTCTGTATCAGAGGCATTAGCAGATGAGAATTGGGTTAAGGCAATGAAGGTTGAGATCGATGCACTTGAGAACAACAATACTTGGGATCTTGTTCCATTACCAAAAGAAAAGAAGCTTGTTGGGTGTAAGTATGTCTTCACTCCCAAATATAATTCTGATGGTTCTTTAGGCAAATACAAGGCTCAGTTTGTTGCCAAAGGATATACTCAGACATATGGGGTTGACTATGAAAAAGCTTTTGCTCCTGTTGCGAAAATGAATATTTTTCATATTTTATTATCTTTAACAGCTCTCTAAGACTGGGAATTGCTGCAGTTTGATGTGAAGAATGTATTCTTACATGATGAATTAAAGGAAGAGATTTATATGGAGATTCCTTCTGGGTTTGGTTCTCATCTTCCTCCCGATACTGTTTGCAAGCCAAGAAAGGCTTTGTATGGCTTGAAACAATCACCCAGGGCATGGTTTGGCAAGTTTTCAAAGGCCATGCTTAGCATGGGGTTCAAATAGAGTCAAGACAATCATACTTTGTTTAGCAAACATTCTTCTTCAAGGGGAGTAACAATTTTTCTTGTTTATGTTGATGATATCATAGTAACAGGGAGTGATTTGGAAAGGATTCAATCTCTGCAAAGTCAACTGATGAAAGAATTTCAAATCAAAGATTTAGGGAGGTTGAAATATTTTTTGGGCATTGAAGTGGTGCATTCTAAGCATGGCATCTTGGGGTGCAAACCTATGGACACTCCAATTGAACAGAATCACAGACTTTGCAAAGATGGAAAACATCCTAGCAAATCGAAGAAAAGTCATAAGCCCAGCAAACCTCCTCCTCCAAAGCCTTCTATCAATAAGGAATCCTATCAAAGACTTGTTAGGAAATTGATTTATCTAGTTCAAACTAGGCCAAACATTGCCTACACTGTGAGCGTGGCAAGTCAATTTATGTATGATCCTAAAGAACCTTATCTACAAGCGGTTTATTGCATACTTCAATATTTGAAGGGCACTCCGAGAAAAGGCATTTTGTTCAAGAGAGGGAAAAAATTGACTCTTGAAGCATACAGGGATGCAGATCATGGAGGGGATATGGATCATAGAAGGTCTACATCAGAATATTGTACATTTCTTGACTCAAATCTCATTACTTAGAGGAGTAAGAAGCAGGATGCAGTATCTAGGTCTAGTGCTGAAGCTGAGTTTAGAGCTATGGCATTTGGAATCTGTGAGTTGTTGTGGGTTAAGATAATTTTATCAAATTTGAGAATCAAATGGGAAGGTCCAATGAGACTTTATTGTGGCAAGTTAGCTATCAACATTGCTCAAAATCCTGTACAGCATGATAGGACCAAGCATGTTGAAATTGATCGACACTTTATCAAAGAGAAGTTGGAAAGTGGTCTAATTTGTACTCCCTACATGCCTTCTGGTGATCAATTGGTAGATATACTCACAAAGGGATTATCAAGTGAACATTTTCATACATTAGCATCCAAGCTGGGAATGGATGACATCCACTCTTCAGCTTAAGGGGGAGTGTTAAAATGTATAGTTAAATAGTGTAAATTTATTTTATTTCTTTAATAGATGGATTAGTCGGTGGTTAGAGGTTAAGATAGCATTTATTACTCTATGTTGATGTGCTATTATAAATAGCACAGCTTGCTTCTGTAAATGATGATAGTGAAATAATAAAGAGTAGATTTTGACCAAATTTGTCAATCATCAACCAAGCAAACTCAAAATAAAACAATATCATCAATAAACAAAGCAAACTCAGAAAATAAAACAATATCATCAATACACACAGATTTCTAAAGTTTAGTAAAAAACATCTTAAAATGCCATCAGCAGCGTCAACATACTAACAAGGCTCTGTATAACAACAACAACAACAACAACAACAACAATGGCACAAACAAAGCCATATTGCACACCTTGCTTCCAAGATAGTTATTTAGATTAAACTAACTAGAATGAGCAGATTACCTCAACAAGTGCAACTAAGCTTACACCGCAAGCAACCCAACAAAATAGAATAGGTCCCAAAAGCTCCTCCAAGTACTGCATAAGGGGTCCCAAAAAAATTTAAATTCATAAACTGTTTGCATTTCAAACGTAATTTTTTTACAAGTCTCAGGCCTATTATATCAATTTTAATTGGTTTGAAAAAGAATAAGACAACAACTTTTCAAGAAAAGTTAAGACTATTTTTGTTGGTGATCATGGTTTCCTATTTGTACTTTAGCGTCTACTTATTTTATGTTTGATCGTTTCCTTAGCTAGCATTCATTTTTCGTCAATACCTTCAGATGTAATTTTAATTATTTCATTTTCCTATTTAAGTTGGCTTTGAAGTCAGCTCCATATCCAAATAGTCAGTTATTTGGCCATCACCTCATTTCTTCTCTGCCCATAATTGCTTGAACAAAAACAGAGTCAGAGGGCTTTAAGAATGCTAATCTATTGAGTCAAAATCTTCAATTTTGATAGCAAAAACTGGAAGCTCTTAACTCAAGACGTTGTTTGACAAGGTGTAACATCCTAGTTATTTTTTTGAACAGTTTAAACAAGCCTGAAAATTTTTCAAAAGTTCATAATGACATTAAGTAAAACTATGCACCTGGTAAAGGGGCCTCGCAAAGCCAACAAAAGAAACCATCTTGTAAAAATTATGATTAATTTGCAACCTCCAAAGGCCATTTGAAATTTCAGATTAAAAACATGAAAGAGAGGCACAACAATTACCTTTGTTCTAGTCATGTACTGGAGTTCTTTAGAAAGATTGTCAACTATGGCACGCACCAATTCCCTAAAGACCGGTACTGACATAAGTAACCAATGCTAAATTTTCAAAATGATAAGAGGAAATTAGTTTACCTATGATAAGGGTCCATGGCTGAAACCACGCATATCATAAACATGGCCTGCATGTACCACCAAGAATCACCAAATAGTTACAACCAAAGAGCTCCTTTATAATTCAAACGAATGCATGTCCTGAAAGAAGTAAGCATACTAATAGCCTCTCCAAATAGTGCAATATATGAAAAAGAACCCCAGATGATAAAGAAGAATCAAAAAACAAGAAGAGAATACACAATTTGCTTCTTCATTAAATAACTGTCAGCATGATCCGGCCCCAAAAGGGCACAAGAAGAACCAGAAAAGAAAAATACGTAGAAAAAATTGATCAAGAAGAGTTACAATATTTGTATCATCCACAAATAAACAGATGTTCAATAACTTACAAATAGGAAGGCGTCTATTTCAAGGCATGAGACAAAGAACTTTCACAAAAATGTCCCTAGAGCTAAGATAAATACAGTATAATGCCCTTAACTTCCAATCTATTTGCAGCAATAAAATAAAGTAAATTTTTTTATACTTCCACACAATCAATATGAAATACCTCCAATTCTATCTTGTCACTTTGTAAGGCTAGATGCATAAGAGTAAGGACAACAGTTTCCACTGCAGTTTGAGACTGAGGACCAGCCGCCACTACCTCCTTTGCTGTGACAACTTTTCCTCTTGAATATATCACCAATGGAACATCAAAATTTGAACTGGTAAAATAGCCAAAGGGTGAGAATAAACATCATTTTATGAAAACATCTAAGAAAAAACAGGGCATCCCACTTGAGCACAAACTACACAATAATGAGAGGGGAAAATCTCTACTATGACTATAGAAGAAAACTACCGAGAAAACTCCAATAATCCCAAAAACTCAAAAAATATGAACAAAGAACTAAGACCAAAGCAAAATAATGTACATAAACAACCTTTATCAATAACCTTTCCATTAAAAGAAAGAGTGAACATCATACTAATAATTGATATCATATATAAAGAGTTTTAAATGCAACCAACCAAATGTCTTGGAATAGCTCTTCATGACCACTCCATGTCTGGAAAAGAACACCAATCCTTCTTGCCAAGAATAGCCTAACTCGAAAATCCTTATCTTGGAGCATCATAAGCAACCTCTCTATCATAGTCTGCTAGGATAAAAACACTAAACAATGTTAAACTAAGAGATGAAGAAGCATTGAGATCAGAATCAATACAAACAAATCCCATTTAGTTCACTAAAAGCTCCCTGTAAGGTTGACTTGTTACTTTGGACATCAATGCTAAATAAAACTATCACTAGACTTTTGACATGTGCTATTTGCACATTTAGTTTGAAAATAGTAACCCATGTATTTCTACACTGTTGGCTGACAACTTTCCTCAGAAAAATTGTTTGGTGTTCTTGGTAACCTTACTAGTTGCTCGTGATACAATCATGTACTGAAAATAATAGCAAGGACAGCCAATTCTGTGGGTTGTGGGGGCTGTGGCCTATTGCATGCTCCAGTGCTTTTGGTTGGAGCGTTATAATAGCCACAACTTCAAAGAAGTCTTACATGATAATACTGTTTATGACTTTACCAACATTCCCTGCTCATGATTTCTAACGGTGTTTCCATCTAAAAGATGCAAAAAGAATAGTTGACTCTTTACAAAAGCCTCTTATGACCTATCAACTTCATAGAGGATACAATGCAAAGTTGCCAACATTCTCTAAACAGGTTTTATGCAACAAGCTAGCATTGTCAGCTTTTCAGCTTGCAAAAATTACTGGTATACAAGATTTTTGATATAAAAAGGAAGCCTTATCATCAAGAAGGAAAATTTAAAGTGAGGAGGATAAATTATCAGCATACAATCAGCAATAACCATTTGCCTTTACCAAACTTCGTCAAAAAATTAAGAAACAGCACTCCATTCTCCAGTGAATCTTAGTTTAAAGCACACAGGCTATACTGGTAATTGTAAAATTTTATGAGTTATAATTACAATCTAACATATGTGTTACTCTGCCTCTATTGCATCTTTGCTTCTTATCTCTGAAGAGCTTGCAAGAAAGGTCTCCTGAAGCTTATCTCAAATTCATAATAATAAATCTTAATAAGATCTCTCTCAGACTTGTAGGTCCAGTAAGGCTATTCACCAGATGGATTGAGTGTTATTTGAGTTGCGAGACAAATAGCCATTTTTCTTGCATTGGGATGTGGTTTGGCAGGGTGCCGTGTTTAATGAAAAGTGGGATTTTCACAATTTCAACAAGTTCAGGGATTTTGACACCAATAAGGGGAAGGTCTTTTAGCAAAGTGCCACATTAGAATGCTTGCCGTTGGTGGTCTCTTAGCAAAGTGCCGTTTGACACCAATAAGGAGAAGGTCTTTTAGCAAAGTGCCATATTAGAATGCTTGTGGTTGTTGGTCTCTTAGCAAAGTGCCGTCAGGGTTTCAACAAATGATTCTTTTTTCCTTTTATGAGCAGAAGTCCCTTGTGGATTGGCAGAGCAAGTTGAAAGCTCTTGCTAATGTTAGTTTTTTTCTACTTATGTTGTTATCTTCATGCTTTTGAAGGATAAGTTATCCTCGAATGATGTATAGCTTTCTCTTCTAATATATACTTTTTCTATAATTAAAACAATAAAAAAAATGTATTACTAAGTACGAGCAATAGTTTGTTTACTGTTTCATTCTAGAAAAGTTTTTCTATTTTTCTATATTATTTTCATGTTCTTGTCTGCTTAACTTCCAATAAGCTCATCAATTTTGTGTCTGTCATGTTCTTCTGTCTGTATGTGTTCCTCACGGGCAGCAATTCCATGAAAGTGAAGAGTATCTTATTTGTGCGAGAGCTCACCTGGCCGATTTGGGACTCAGTAGAACAAGATCACAGATGCAATCAACCAGTGCCATGCGTCCAAACCAATCAAGATCCAATTCAGCAACTTTTTGCACCAAATTTCCTAGTAATTGAAAGCACTGCAAGAGGAAAAATAAGAATTAAGTAATGGAACCTTAATTGAGCAAAGAACACCCAGTTCCCAAAATTCCCAACATCCATTCCCTTGAACCTGGACCACAGACCTGTTACTGACCTAGCCAAATCCACTTTTCTATAATTCATGATTTCACACAAAATCAAGATTACAATCTGCCTGTGACTTGTATTTTACACTTAGGGATGAACATCAGTAGGCCAGGGTTGGGTTGGGCGCCAACCTGAAGCTGGGCCTATAATCTATTGACTTCATTGATGTAATTGGAGTCATTGCTATTGGGTTCTTCAATGGATATGGCAATGCTGTTGCATTGGAAAATATAAATGTTGTACAATCTCCATGAGTTAGGCATTGGGGCTTGACGTCAAGAAAGGAGGGAAAGGGTTGGCTGCTGCATTTGGCAAAGGCGAAATAGGAGGGATAGATTGAAGAATTAGGTTTAATTTGGGGAATGGAGATGAGAAAAGCATGTGCTGGAAATAGGATTAATAACATATGTATGTGTGTGTGTGTGTGTCTATAAAGAATGCTAGGAAATTTTGTCTAAACTGAACCGAGCATTCAACTAGCCAAAGCACTAGCTCACTAAACCATGGTAAGACTAGCCTCAATTAAAATAATATTTTTAAATAATACATAAGAAAAAAAAAATAAATTAGACAATATTTATCCGTATATTGTCATACATGCCCAAAAAAGTCATGTAATATTTGTTCATATCAGTCTCATGCACGCCAAGCTTGCACAGTCTCGTACATGCCCAACATAAAATATTATTTATTGTCTATTACAAATCACCAAAATCATCAAGTATGCAAAATTAATTCTCCAACCAAGCTAGTAAAAGCCTCCATAATTAAGTAGAGCCACTAATAAATCATCAAATATATACAGCACTAAAGAAAAAACCAACCAAAAGATAAACACCAAAAAACAGTGTTTTGGGTTACTGAAAATTCTCTAAAAGAAAATGAGAAAAACAGGTTTTCCACCAATTATAATTGGTTTGGACCAGTTCTCTACCAGTTCACTTTTTGGCCAATTTTCAAGGGTTTTGGACCAAACATATGGCCAGTTCCCAGTCCAACTGGTCAAACCAGTCAGTCCAATTCTGACAACACTGATGCCAGGCTAGGCTGGACTGCTCAGTCCTAAGGGCTAACTAATCCATTCTGACCTGAAAGTCCAACCCAGCCCAATCTTTTTTTTTTTTCGTGGGGCTTCCTTTTTCAAGCTCAGCCCAAGCCTGATTCATGAAGGTTTGATGCAAGCCCTAGTTATGCTTGTAAAATCTCATTCTGAATTATTAACAATTCTTTTGCAGATATAATTCTTCCAAGCAACAAATTATAAGGAACCATTGCCTATTCCCTCAAATACAAATATAATGAAATCTGAAATTACCTGTTTAGTTTCATCTCCCCTCAAATATAGGCCATAGTTTTCTTTACCAGCTGCATCCAACGATGACAAAGTAGACAGTAAAGAACGGGCAGCACCCAGTACATTACCACAATCAGCTTTCATTCTAACATGCTCTTCAATCATATCATTCATTAGATTGACCTGCAAAAGAAAAGTATTTGCACATATGTTGAAGGTAATTAGAGGCATGCAAAAACTTTTTTTTTTTTCAAAAAGAAAACTGTGATTTAAGCTACTGAACTATACATCCAATTATTCCCATACCAATTGTACAAACTTTGTACAAGATGACCAGTGAGGATGCTGACAGAGATGGTGCAATATTTTTCCTCTGACCTGAATATGAGAGGATAAAAATTAACAAACAAAGGACAAAGAGAATTCACTAATGAAGAGAACAAAAACATTAAATTAATTAATTACTGAATATTAAGCCATTGCAACTGTGTTTGAACAGAACCTTAGGATCAGATTCATCCTCCAATAAATTGAACAGCATATCCCATGTAATAACTTGTGAAACACAGAAGAAACAGGCAATAAGTGATACCATGCCCATTTTCCATTTCTCAGCAGAAAACGTAATGCCACTGGTAATATTTTTCCCAGCTGTCAAAATATCCACATCTACAGAATCATCGTTAACATCCAGTTCCACATCCATAATTCTAATTTTGCTGCTATCACATAGCAAAGAACTTTGAATACCATCAGTTGCAGCTACGTCTTGGACAATTACCTCAGACTGGACATTTATTATACGCTGAGAATAATCTTGGTATAATTTAACAAGTGCTTTCAAGAGTCTCTCCACATATTGGATAACCTCTCCAAATGAGACAAACTCCATAGCATTTTGATATCTCCACTCATTAAATAGAGGAGAAAAAAGAAAGCTTCGGATAGAAGCGACAACAGATCTTGTTTCATCACAAGCAGAATCATTACTTAGGCAACTGAGGGACCGGAAATCGTTGTCTTGTTGAATAATGTTGACAGCATGATCAAGCAACAATAGTACGTACTGGCTTAATTTTGAGAGAAATACAACATTTGCTTTCCTGAAAAGGAAAAAAAAACACAAATTGATCAAAACACCAGACAGAAGAAAATTGATGGAAGAAATCAAGTGAGACGGCATTCTCTAGCTTAAAAAATCATAAAGTAATGCTTGCATAAGAATTTGACACGTGGCATCACTCAACTAGTTGAACGTTTTATGTAAAAAGCTAAAAAGTCGACCTGCTAATAGCAAGGCATGATACATAGCAAAATATATTGGCATACCAGATATAAGATGTCCTAAATTACTGATGGAAGCTAAGGTATTGTGTCATGTCTAAGTCTCACATTAAATAGCATGAGATGCTCTCAATGAGATATTTGAGCAGGTTTGGGAGGGGAATTGATGGGTATCTAAGTGAGATAGGAAACCCTACACCAAAGGCTAGTTGCTAAGGTAAGAGAACCAATCCACTTAAATACCCCATTGGATATTCCATACAACTTAATGTGTAACCTAGTATCTCATACTACTAGGTCTCCATCAATTAGTCCCCTCATGAAAAGCCATTGTCCCTAAAGCTACACTCTATAGCACTTAACTCAGCCTACCAATCAAAGCCTTTCATTAGTAGCCCTCTTTGGAATGACCAACAACTCAAATCCGATAGCAATTAATAGGTACTCAAGTGGGATAGAGAACATTATCCCAAAAGCTAGCTATTAAAGTGGGAAAACTAACCCACTAAAATACCCTAATTGACCATCCATACTACGCAATGTGGGACTTAGTATGTGTTTGGTTTTCAGTTCACATTTAACAAAAGTACATTTAGGGGATCCAACTATTTGTTGGATTTGGCAAAATCACATCCCAAATGTGGTTTAAATGTGCTTTTGAGAATTACCCCCAAATAGACCCTTAGCATTTCAAATTACCAAGTCTCCATCAGGAACCCTCCCACAAGACATAACTGCATATATTTAGGGTAAACACAAGGCATCAAATCAAAATATTACATGAAGCCAAAGTGATGGGATGATGAACATGAATAAGAAAATGATCAGCTGACAAAGGCATAAAAACCAGAAACTTGAACCAAAATTAATGGTGAAAGAGATTGAAGACAACTATAATCTAATGTGACTAACCTAGTGGAAAATGACCCATAGAGTAGGTTTGACAAAAGAGAACATTGGAAGAAAATATCAGGTAATTGTCTCTCTTTTATCTCTTCTACCACTAGAGAGCCAAGAATGGAGGTCTCCATTTCAAGCAATAGCTGATCACTTATTTCCCGAGGCAGATGCACTACAGGATTGCTTAGCAATTTGAAAACCTGAAAATGGATAATTGGGTTATTCAAATTCACATAACATACAAGACTTGTGTAAACTGACAGACAAGCACCTCAGCTTTAGAACCGCTGTCAATCTTGGTTAGAGCTTCAACAGAGCAATCCAAAAAATCATGTAGACTCTGGTGTTTAGGGTTTTCTATCTATAATCAAAATCAAAATTCAATTTCTAAGGGAAAATATTAAGTAAAATAACGGGCAAAAACAAAGGCAATAGGCAGTAAGGAAAAGAGATTAAGCCACACCTTATGACAGTCATCTAGAGCCTCAGGAATATCCAAAGAGCAGGATGATAAAGGAAATTCTTTAAAGCATTGTGTAAAAGGAGCCTGACCAGTACAAAGAGCATACACAGCAGGAGGGAGCAATAAAACCATCCGTTCCTTTGATGTTAAGGATCCCTGCATTGAGTAAAATGAGAACACATAATATTCACACAGGGCCAGGTTGTGCCAATATATTGTTTAATCAATAAATAAACAAAATGAAGGACTAAGGTACTTTGATATTTAAAGTAATCACACCTTCCAATTAAGATGACTCAAAGCTGCTCTTAGAAGGTTCTTCCTTAAATGCAAAATATCTCTGAGGTCAACCTGCATAACATGGAGAAGGCATATATGATGGGCTATGATGGGCTCAACAGGGACATGAAAGCATGAAACTGAGACCGAAAAATGCACATTTATTCATACCAAACAAATGCACAATAATTTATCTCTTATTGCTTACTGAGAAATAAAACAGGACTCCCCTATCACAAGAGTTGTCCAAAATGGCAGTCCACACCCGGGGGGATCCTAAAATTATACACTTACCCTCAAAAACAAAATACAATAAAATTTCCCTCTTGAATATAATTGATTTCTTTTATTAAAAAATGTTATACTTTAGTGGCAATCATATGTATTGTAGAAAACCAAAAATTTAATGAATTCTTAAATTTTATTAATTTTACAGTAATGCTTTTGTTTATTAATACAATTTAATAAAGTGTTATTCTTAAAATTAAATTATTTACAGATTATTGAAATTCAAAATTTTTTGCAAATATAGATTGTGTTCTCACTAATTTTTTTTCCATTGAATAACTTTACAATTTGCTGAATTTAGAAAATTCATTATTTTACATAGTTCATGTATATCTCCCAATATAGTTGCAGCAACAGAAAAATAAATACTGGAAGGAGACGGGGAAATACTGAGGTTTTGCTATTAAGAACTGGGAACCAAATCAACACTACAAAGAGAACTTCACTGATTCTGGCCAAAATCCTACTCCCTAATACAAAGTGGAAAACACAATGAAACATCTCTGAGTGCTTCCAAAATAGACAAAATATTAATGCAGGGCAAAAAGCGACTCTAACATCTAGACTGAGCCTAAAGCCACTCTACAATACATCCTTGCCTAATCCTTATAATCTGGACCCTTAGGATAATAATCTGGACCTGCAGTATCTTTCTTTTCTGCCCTTTCTTTCTCCCTTAATTTCCTCTTGCATGTCTGAGCAAAACTGACAGCTACATCAATATCCAATATCCAATACCTGCCATTTAAGTATTAGATATAGGGGTATTTTGACCAAAATATGTTTGCTTATTATCTTTAGTAAAGATAAGCAAAATGCGTTGTGTAATTCAGAACTAGGAAGTGTAGACTTCCAAAATAGAGGAAAGGGTTGTGTGACTCGAGCATTGGGAAGGGGAGAGTGGTTTACCCCATAGAGAACACACAAAAGAATGAGATCCAATCAAATGAAGCATTAAGTCATGTCCCATGTTTCAGCAACAATCATTTAGTCATCCCATAAAGCAAAACCAACAGAATGAAATTGTTACAAGTTTACAATCTTGAATTGTCTACTCCTTCACAAAATACCACTATATATCATATAATCTCAGAAAAATCATTATTGGATGTTGATCCTTATATACCCACCAAAAGCAAACACGATACAGTAAAACAAGAATAAGTATCAACTAATTTTAGAACTTTTACTCTGCAATACTTGACACAATTTGGAGGCTCAGAATCACTTTCAAAAAGCCCCAGGCATGGCCAAAAAAATTGACACATTTTCCAGCAAGACCACTTTTTTCAATAAGATCTTTGAAGATAGAATTGATTGTTTAAAAATCAATACCTAATTCATAATCTACACAGAAGAAGCAATTATGCATTTGCTTAAGCTAGGGACAACTAATAACTCAAATATCAAATAAGAAGATGGCATTAAAAAAAAATGAAAATATGATGCGTAGTAAACAACTCACGTGAGAATTCTTCCTCGAAAAGTAACATATGAAGAAATACAAGGTAGGCCTGCATATAAAGAAAATCACGCTCTAAAAAAGAATACAGCAGCAATAAGAAGAACATAATAAAATAAACACAGAATAATGGGTTACTTTTTTCCCCTTCAAAAGCACCATGCATGTGCACCTCTGTATTGACAGCCTAACTTAATTTGGCAGCAAAATTACAGTATACGAGCATGAAAATAAACCCATGAACATTATATAATTGAGTTTATTGAGCTCCTTGAATGATATGCTTTTGTTTTATTTAAGAAAGTTCTTACAATCATACCAATCATTAAGCAGGCAGAAGCATTCAATCATTGTTTGTTGGTCCAACCATATTGATTCAGTGATACTAATTGTATCAGTGATAATTAATTATGTATTATATTAGATTTTAGAGGCTAAAACTATATAATATAACAAATAAATACTAATCATTTTAAATATTTGATTACTATGTCCATATTTCTCAAGATGCTTGAAAAGTGATTTCTCGAATGAAAAGGCTTATGCATTATTAAAATTAAGTCTTAAATAACAAATTTTTGGTATTCTTGAATTATATTCAAAACCAAATCATGAAGGAATGAGCAATTTTGGCCAAACACTTTGATAACTAAGGGAGAAGCCACTAGAAAATGAAGCACGATGAAGATCAAGCACAGGAAATGGCCAACTACAAAAATTTTTCCTTATTCCTTTTTCCCTAGAATTTTCTCTATTTTAACTGTCTCTTTCTCTTATTATCTACAATATATTTTCAGTTTCTCTTTCTCTTACTATCAACAAGTAACAAGGGTTCTAATTCTTTTTTTAATTTATTTATGATTATGTTCATTACAAGTGCATCAAAATACTGTAATTAATCTTTTGTGACATATGATTTTCAGCACTTGATGATGTTGATGAATTTCTAACCGCTCAGGATGTGTACCTTTCAATTTGTGTGCCGCTAAGGTGTGTTTGATTGCCTCAGATGGTGTACCTCTAGGCTTCTGTGCTGGGATATGCCCACATAGTAGCATGTCTACCTCTAGGTTTATGTTCTGAGTTCTGACTACTCTATGCAACTTTGACCAAATAGCACATGCACCTCTAGGTTTGTGTGCTGACCATTTTATCGACGTGTTAGGCTTATAGCTAACATACCATGGGAGACTTGCACACCTTTCAAGGTGGGTCAGCAATAATCCATTAACATATGGCCATATACTAGGAACATGCTTTGAAATGGAGTTTTGGCTATGTATTATTCTTTACGCACTTCTAAATTATGATTATTACTATTGGTTTGAATATGCTTAAAATTAGTTCCCTAAGTCACTGAAATTGTTATCCCACCTCATTGCTTATCATTTTCCAGGATTGTTTAAGGTTTAGCACGAGAAGGGAAGGAAACCAAGACGTAATAATTTGTACATCAAGATGCGGTTGCCTGAGGTTGCTCAACCACTATGCATTGGTGAGTTACTGCATCATGCATCATATAATGGAAAGTGCCAAATATTGGACTAGCATTTTTGATAAATGGATGCCGTAGTGTCATGGTATATTTTGGGCAGAAATCCCTCTCGATATCCTTGCACTCAAATATTGTTTTCATGACGTTCTCATCCTCTCATTGGTATGGTAAGCTTTTGGTCATGTTTGTGGTTGTGAATGAATCTGGATTTGATTATTTGTGGGAGGATTTGTGCCCTATGTTCTATATTGGGTACCTCAGTCTTGGAGGGTCAAATCTTATTGCGCAAGTGTTTAATCATGAATGTTGGCATTATTAGGTTCCTGAAAGGTTTTGAAATGTGACTAGTATGTTGGGATTGGAATTGATTTTGTGAATGTGGGATTAGAGTAAAAAGAAATTTAGTTTTCCCAGCGTTTTTACTGGTTTATAGGTTTTGATGTTCCATTTGATTCATAGCTTTTAATTTGAGGTATGGTAGATGCTAATAGTTAGAAGAGGTTAAATATGAATCAGAGGATTTGAAATCACTGAAATTGAAAGTCGTAACTCAAGATATGATATGAGATTCAGAAGGGGCTGAAAGTGCAGAAAAATCTGGCCTAACATCTCTTATACTTCACTGCAGCAAAGCAGCTCTCGGATGCACATGTTGCATGACAGAAGGTGTATTTGCCACAGCAAACTACGAGGAAATTTTGGGGTTGAATCTTCGAATCTGAGTTGCCTTCTGCTCTAAGTTTATTCACATAAGAGGTTCTTATCGCCATTTTTGAAGTTTGGTGGGATTCTTGTGGGTTAAGAAATGTTTCAAAAAGCTCATAATTCCCCTATATGTTTACGTAAAGCAAGGTTTGAAGTTTTAAAATTTTCGCCTGAACCTCATTTTAAAATATATGGTGCTACAATAACACCTACGTTAAATGGCTAGACAATTTGGCATAAACCACGAATGAATGCCTGATGGGCCACACGACCACATCTACAAAAATCAGTAGCACAATAACAATATTTAAACTATAAGGGCCAAATTGAAAATTTAGTAAAACTTTAGGAAGTAAAATAATTTTAAGTATCAATCTAAAAGTTATATTTTCAGAGATACAGTTAAGATAACAGTAACTTAGGACCTGTTTGTTTTCTATTTTTAAAAACTGTTTTTTGTTTTCGAAAATAGAAAAACTTTAAAATTTGTTTGGATAAGTGTTTTTCATTTAATTGTTTCCAGAACTGTTTTCACTCCTTTGTTTTTAAAAGCAAAAAAAAAAAAATAGAAACAACTTCAAATTGTCTTCGTTTTATTTTTCTTGTTTTTAAAATACACTACATTTGATTATTAAAAATTATAGTTACTTTAACAAATTTCTATTATTAAATCATCACCATCAATTGCCTATAACCATCATTGTTAGTCCATTTTTAAATTTTAAAACTGTTTTTTAATTGATATAGCCAAACAGATTTTCATTTTATTTAGTTTCGAAAAACAATTTTGAAAACTATATTACAAAACAGTTTTTAAAAACAAAAAATGAGAATAGAAACCAAATAGGCCCTTACATGGAACCACCTGCTGTTAGCTAAAGTGGCAAAGGGTGGATAGGGTGTTGATAAAGGTCCAAGGTTGAAACCTTCCTAATGTAAAAAGAAAAAAGGGCAACTTACATTGACGGTGGCCTCTTAAACAATTGAAGATCCCAGACATCTTGGGGTATTACACACGCATTTATTACATCCTGGACAGAAGAACGCAAGTGTAAGATTTTTCATGACATGCCCCATTGCCTAAAATCTTGTACTCACATTTGAGGTTATGTTACCAAGAAGCACCAAAGCAGCATCAACCTTCATTAAAATCACAGTTTAAATCGAAAATTAGCAAGAAAGAAGCCATACAACAAGCATTAAGAAAATAATCAAATTTCCAAGAAAAACTTACAATAGCAGTTATATTGCTGTATATTGGCAACCCATGTACTGTGGTATTCCAAATTAGTTGCCAGCCATTAATGAACTGCAATAATTGGTCGGGTAAAGCACAAATAAAATAGCAGGCGGACAGAGTAATCAACCACTTCAATAATAGAAAGATTTTCCAATTAGGTTTTACTGATCAAGTGACTCAGTTCAGCAACAGCTACAACAGACAGGCATTCACGTTTGGATTTGGGTGAAAGATTCTTCACAGATTTCAATAAGCATAAATCCGGCAGACAGATAGACATATAGATGAAGATTCTTGTCTGTGCTAGAAATTCTCAATCGACGAAGATTCTTGTCTGTGCTAGAAATTCTCAATCCCTTTTTCTTCAGGAAGCTTACAGAGTCTCAAACTACTAGATTTCAGTGACTAAGAAGTAATGTTTTTTCTTTTCCGTGAATCTTTGGGTTTGGAAGAAGGATTATTCAAAATTTTCAGTTAGCATAAATCAAAGATATAGAACCAGCAACTTTGTCTGGTTAAAAATTTTCCATTCCTTTTTCCTTCTGGTAGGGTCTCTTTATTATTTCAATGCTCAACACAGCCGATTAACATAAAAATATCCCAGACCATCAAATAGTTCAGATGCATAGCATCTGTCCACCCTAAAAAAGAAAAAGAAAAAGAAGAAAAGAAAAACTTCAAGGGAATTTTGTTTACAAAAATATTCAATTAGAAGGGAAAAGAATAACAAGAAAGAATAAGACATCCTCACTTTTAATAAAAGGCAATGATCAGTGAACAATAATCATATTGACCTATCAAGGACCCCAAAACGGCCTCATCTCCCAGTAATATGACAATGAATGAGCAATTATCTTATTGACCTTCCAATCGATTTCAACTTGAAAACCAAAGTCTTTTTCTAAATAAAATGCTGGAATACTACATATTCAGCTTAGCATGCATTAAAAAAAAAAAGAAAACAACAAACTAACTTTAGAGAGAGAGACCTCATTTAAGGTAGAAGATGACATAGATGAGATCTCCAGCGTTATATTTGGATGCAACAGGACCAAGGAAAGCTCCTGCAAACTCCTTCAGATGCAACAGAACAAGACATGAATTCACTGTGATAAGAGGCTAGCCATAGTCTATAATACAAAGTAAAATGAATCACAATCATGAAAGTTATGAAAAATGAATAAATTCAGAGATCTAAGGTAGTTCACCAGCACCACGCTCTTATGATCATGAATATGACCTGTCCAAACTGGAAAATACTGTAATGAAAACATTTATTGTCAATCATAGCAACGTACCGCAGAGTCCACAACAATCCATCATAAGCATGCTCCAGATTTGCCGAATTCAGAATTCTGCAGCATTATCTCAAATGTGTCAATCCAATCATCAAGATGAAAAATTCTATTCCCACAAAAATATGTCTCATTCATGCATATACAGATATTCAACTCAAACAATGTATATAGTACAGAAATGTTCAAAGGAAACAAGCAATCCAAAACCAGAAAATTATCAATCATCAGTTGTCAACCAAATTAAGTACACTTTCTCTGGTTAACAGAACTTCAAAGGCTATTAAAAAAGACAAGGATAAGATATTCCACTGGGGAAACATGAAAGAAGAAATAGAGAAGAGATACACAATGACATCAATATGACAAAGCTCTAAGGTCACTTTAAGTATCAGCCATAGAGACACCCATACAAACAACCTTGTATCATGGTCAAGGGGCTGAAACGAATTGTAGAAGCTGCAGGGTTAGTATAGTAATGGGAAGACAGAAATTCCCCAGATTCAGGGTCATCAGCAAAATTGTACATGCAGAACATTTCGAACTAACTTAAAAAAATTAATCAGACATAGGATAAATTTGATAGAAATGTAAAATCTTCTACAACTATTGTAACAAGTCTTTCCGTATTTTCCATCAAACAGGATTTCCTTTCCCCCATTGCAGGAAATGGGGACATGCAAAAAGGAGATCAGTTGGCAGGGATGGGAAGCAGGGTAAATCCCTTGACCCAAAAGAACGCCATCCTTAATCCTATCTCTTAGAAACTATAAGAAAATTATTCGTGAGCCCACACTTAAAAGCTCAAACCCTTTAAACAAAATACAGAGTAAAATAAAAATTATAAAATTAAACTATATATGCATGATCTAAAAATAATATTAAGCAAATATATGCATGACCTCAAATTCACAATCAAGCATATATGAATTGTAGTTCCTGTAGAAGATTTTTGGCACAAGACACACCAAAAAAGGGTCAAGTACCATTCGATCCTTTTATCCTGTGCAGTAAGATACTTCGTTCAGGAAACGTTTATGATGCAACACACATTCACACATACTTACACAGATGACAACAGAGGGATTTTAGGGAGAAGATAAAAAACGGAGGGGGAGGAGGGAGAGAGGACAATAGTAATGGAGGGGGAGGAGAGATATGAAGAATAGAATGGTGGGGGAAGAGAAACTGACGAGGGGGAAAGTTTAGCTATGCGAACAAAGCCTTAGCATATTTCATTCGTCAAAAACAAGTCTCTTCTCAAAAATACTTACGGGATATATATAGCTAAGGTTTCCTTCATGAAAAGGAAACATCACACTTGCAGCAATAAAATAGTACATGACATGACTAAAGCAATCCACTTGCAAGCTATAACAGAAAATAAATAAAATAAAAGGCAAAAGTAAGATAGGTTTCCTTCTATAGTAGGTTTCCTCAAAATATATTATTATATTTCATCAATTTATCATGATAAACATAATTGATATGAATGGAGGCGTCACATATCTGAATGAAATAGACGACCAAAGCAAGTGTTTCTTTGCATGACATGCTCGTACCCACTTACCTGTCAAAGCTCATCCAGATGCCTTCAAACCAGTACAAGAAAAGATCCTTACTGATGCGGGAATGGTAGTTTCGAGTGAGACAACAAAATGCAGCACCCCTGTAGCAAAGATTCTTGATGAGAATTTGGTATAGTGACACTTACATCAACAGTGCCTGATACATGGGAAATATAAGAGTAGTATTTAAAGTATTTAACCACAACATTATATATCCTATTCATAATACTAGGAGTGTGGAGAGCTTCCTAATAATTATCCACAATATTCACTTGATTCTTAACCTTCCCGTGATGATGCCCATCAATTTAGCACATAATAATGAAAGCAATCTATGCATCATGATGGGCACTTCGTTACTGATCAGAAGAAACGATCAAAACGGAACCATGAAAAGTAAGAATGGTGAAAAAGAAAGAGAAAACAAAATATAGACACACATTCCAAATGCTTGGCGGAAAGAAAGTATAGTTTTGTAAACTAAATTCTGGCGAAAGAATTACTGGAACAGAAATTTTGAACAATTCTTAAAAGTTCCATTCAAAATTTTCAACACATTCCGCCATATAGGAGAAGGGCCTAAAGTCGTTTAAATGCTAGAAACATGATACATGCAAGCAATTAATCATCAAAATGATAAGTGATACATCATCTCTTTATTACATTCTAAAAAAAAGAAACATGTTAGAGAGGAAAATAAGTAAAAGGCAGATGTGATTTCTTTCTAAAAGAATTTGATGCAGAACAAAAGATAAAAAGGGGTAAGGGGAGGGCAAAGACAGAGGAAGGAAGTGAGAAAACTGACAATAAACTGATATCTTCGACTCGTCTGGAAACTACAGTGTAGAGCTATTGATAAGGAGCCCAATATATAAGAAAATAAAATAAATAGAAGTTGAAATTTAAATAAACAAATAAAAATCAGAAAATAAACAACAACAACAACAACAACAACAAGCCTTTATCCCACTAGGTGGGATCGGCTACATGGATTGCAAGACGCCATTGTGCTCTATCATTTATTAAGCTTTTAGAAATATTATTAATTAAGAGATCACGTTCAACAACTTCCAAGAGTGTTCTCTTAGGCCTTCCTCTACCTCTCTTAATCGGACTCAAAGTTATATGTTCCACTCTTCTCACTGGTGCCTCCCTTGGTCTTCTTTGTACATGCCCAAACCATCTCAACCTATTTTCTACCATTTTTTCCTCAATAGGTGCCACCCTCACTTTTTCACGTATGTGCTCATTTTGAATTTTATCTTTACGTGTATGTCCGCACATCCATCGTAACATTCTCATCTCTGCTACTCCAACTTTATGCTCTTGCTGTCCCGTTAGAGCCCAACATTCACTACTATATAACATTGCCGGTCTGATAGCAGTACGATAAAACTTTCCTTTAAGTTTATTAGGCACCTTACGGTCACAAATAACTCCTTTAGCTTTTCTCCAATTAAACCACCCAGCTTGAATTCTATGTGAAATATCTCCACTGATTTCGCCATCATTTTGAATAATGGCTCCCAAATATCTAAACTTTCCACTTGAGGTATAATTTGATCTCCCAATTTCACTTCCAAATTATTTTCGAATAGTCCTTTACCAAATTTACAATATAAATATTCCGTCTTACTTCTACTCAGACGAAAACCTTTCGACTCCAATGTCCTCCTCCATAACTCAAGAGGTGAATTAAAACTAAAATATCTCTAAACTAGAGTTTCCCATGCTAAGAATAAGTATTCCGTAATTTCTCATCAGAAACATAAATATAAATAAATAAACAATCTGAAGTAACAGAGGAAGCCCATCGACTAGACATAGCTCATCAATTTAACTATATGTTAACCACTGAATCCTTTCCAAGATAACCGTTAACCAAGTACCATAGCGAGGTTAAAAAGACATCACTTTATCACATAAAAACAGCCATAGCAAAAAAGATATCCTTTTGAATGCTGAAATTTCAACTTCAACCATTTGCATCAAATAACATCATGTGTAGCACATCTCCATATAAATTAGATGTGAATGAACAAATAAGACCCAAGTCCAAACTCATAATATAGCGATAAAACAAAAGCACATAAATTAAGAAGTTTTTCCAAATGAAAGTTAGCATGACATAATACAGAATGCCTTATAGAACAAAACTCATAAACTAGCATCTAACTTACCATAACCATTTACCATGTATGAGTGCATCCCGTAGAAGCACAGCAGCTGGCTCCTTCTTAACTCGTTTTTCAGTTAGTATGACTTGTGTTGTATTAAGGCAAGCCTAAGGAATAACCATGTTAGCAAGCAATCTAGAAATTATTGTACTAGAAAAATAAGGAACCACAGAGACATGATTTTAAATTCCACAACCACTTGCAGATTGTCAAATGAATACCCTATAAAATAGAACTGCCGCAAGTTCCACCAATCCACAGTGTGAGCTACTCAAAGCTCCAAATCTATCATCTTTAGTTCCATCACCCCTATATAGAAAGATCATATAGATCACCATTAATAACTAGAAAATTAGTTATTAAATTAATAAAATGGGAAACAATAGAAAAACTCACCAAGGCATGGAAGAACTAGACATACTACCCTGATCAAGATCCTTACAAACCACATCCAAAAGTTGTTCTACCAATGAACACCCATCATCAGCACTCCTCAGTAAATTTAACTGTAACCTTGCATAGAACATAAGTGCATCCTGCAATGAAAGCATCAAACAGAGCAATGTAAAAATATCAAGGGACGAGCTGAAGTAAAAGCATTTGCATACAAACTGCAACATCAAGAGACCTTAAGTATTCGATCATGTGTTGTCAGCCAGAAGCGGAACACAAACTGCTGCAAGGCATTATGGATCTCCAACAATCGACAGCCCAAATTTGGTCCATCATTCAACAAATATGAATTAATACACTCAACAAGCTTGCGTGAAATCTTTCCTTCATCCCTAAAGAAAGTAAAAGGAATGAAAGATAAAATGTACTCTAGCAGATGATAAAATGATGGGGTGAAAACAAGCACGCACACAAGCACACATCTATATTAATGATATACCTAATAAATGAGCATATCTTGACAAACCCCTTGATAATGCCTTCCCTAAGATTATCAGGGTAGTCACCAGGAGGATTTTCAAGAAGTGAATGAAGTGTCAGGATGTACCGAAAAACCTCCTCCTTTGAAACGTGATGAGTATTATTCCCATTCAAGCTTGTTTCAACATTCTCGATGTAGAGAAACACCAAATCTTGCAAAAGGAAATTGACATGATATATAAGGTAAGATTACAACATTTAAGAAAGATTGTGTCATTGAGACATGAGGAAAACTGAAAGCTCCAAGTTCAGAAAAAAGTTACTTTGATAAATGCGCTTCCTCATTTGCAAACCATAATCCTTGACTGCCAATAGATGCCGAAGTATAATACCATATTCTGACTGAAAGCTCGGGACATTGCTCAAGACATCCCAAACATGGCTAAAAAGGGGTTTAACCACATGTGATAAAGGAAGCATTTTACCTGCCATAAAATGACAGGGAAAAAATTATTGAGAACAGACGTTTTAGTCCCAAGAGATTATCATGTCGACCATCTCTCAGCTTTTTATCATGAACTTCCATGTTGGAAGTTGGAACCAACAAGACTTCAAGATTGCTGTGTTCAATGAAAAGCTTGAAATGATGTGTCGTTCCTTCATTGGCAAGTTTTGGTGTCTAAACATCCTTTCTTTTTTTAGAGATACAAGAGTGTACATGGTGTACCCACTTGGCTGGCGCATCAGACCAACAGAAACTGGCAGTTAATTGACAAGCACATGGTAAAAACCAAATCTAAAAAAATCTAAATCAACTGCCTGTTTGAATTGGTCAAGTGCACAAATTAAGTAGCACATCATGCGTACCTACAAATTTTATTTCTTCCCCAGGATCGTTCCCTTCTTTTTATTGCACTCGATTTTAGACTTTAGTTTCTTCTGTTTTTTAATCAAAAAGGGGATAGGAGAAAAGAAGAAAAGTGAATGAACAACTACATTCCAGTGACTCACCTGAATACTTAGCATCTTCTGCCCGTTGCACGACCACTCTAAGAGTCTTTGCATAAACCATTTTTGGCATTCGCCGCTTGCTTGAGGATATTTCCAATGAAGTAGATTGAATAAGGACAGAAATAAGAAAAGGCCATGTTTCAGCTGCCCCTCAGAAATGAAGAATAAATGAAGTGTCACATGTAAAGACTTACACGTTGGCTTTAATAAACTATTGCCTCCAGCACTATCTAAAGTCTGTAAGAGAAAATTGCCTTACAGTGAGGAATTTCATCAGGTCTAAGCTTTGCAGTACCCTGTCCAAGAAATTTGCAGAAGTTAAATGATCGTTCTCCTTCTAACCAAGTATTCAGCAACTTGATCCCTTCCTGATAAATTACAACATGTCGGAACATATTAAAATCAAATGTGGGTCATGATCGTTAGATGATAGACCCAAAAAGGTCTGGCCTAGTAACAAATAAAGATCATTATTTATCCATGAATGACATATCACATGACATGCTTTTTAACAACATCAGTTTTGCAACGAAGGATCAGAATAAGTGGTTTATACACAGATTTCAGCAACTTCCGTGTTAAAATGCAACTATTCAAGATAAAAATACATGGTGTCATTTCTTTGGCCAAAAATAAAATGCTATTGACTTGTTGAGTACAACCGAACAGTCATGTGAAAAGAAACAAATATACAGCAAGGTATCATTCTACCGTGATTTCTTTGCCCCAGGAATTTTAAATTTTAGCATGACCTGAGGAAAGAGGAATGAATCCACCTCAGTTCAATCTTCATTTCCCTCTGGTTTAATTTATTGCAACCATTCGCTAGATAGTTTTAGGTCGAGCTTAAAGCAGGGCATTGATACTGGAACCTACTTAAATTTTCCAATATTAAATTCAAGCTTTGACAGCAGGAAAGACAAAATTTCTATCCGTAATAGCCGATTCAAAAAAGTTCAGTCATTGGGTGATTTCATATCGGGACGTGCTCATTGAATAAACAAAGACAGAGTTATGGTTGATGAAGAAAATGAAGGTTACGTCGCGAGCTTTGGCTTTATCAGAAGAAAGCTTCTCAACAATGTCTTGTACATCTCTAGAGCGGACAATCACCATTATCACAACGGACTGAGACGGTCATAAATCTCAAGGGTAAGATCAGACAAGCTTACACGGGTGATCAAGAAGCTAGGGTTCCTGCCAGTGGTTCCGGGTCACTTGCAGGATAATGGCGGGAAAGCTAAAGGTTTTTTACTACAGAAAACCCTTTATACCAGTGGAAGTGCAAGGTCCAGACTATAGACGACAGCCGACGGGAAGTCTGGAATGGATAGTTTGGCGGGGAATCTCGACATTGCTACGCTGTCGCTGTCCCATTGAGCCTCGTCATATAGATTTTCATTTTCATTTTTCGTTCTCTAATTTTGCTGAAATTTTTTTTGGCCAGAAATTGTTGCTGAAATTTTAAAACATTTACATTTTTTTACTTTCATGCAGAAATAATGAAATATACACATTTTATTTTATATATATATATATATATATATAGGAGCAGAGAGATGTTTCGACGTAAATGTTAGAAGATGCTGATAAATTCCAATGTAACTTAATTGTGCTTACCGAGAAAATAAAAATGCTTACCAAGAAGATAAAAATGATATTGATAATTTTTAATGTAATCTCTCTCTCTCTCTATATATATATAAAATAAAGAGAAAATCGTTGGGTTTAGAATAAAAAAGAGGAAAAAAAACTTATATTACTTAAGATATTTATATCTAATTATATTAAGATATGTAGGTCTTTTATGCATTATTTTTTCTATAATAAATTCTTGTTATTTAATTAAATAAATGTATTAACATCCACATGTCATAATGTAATTTAATATAAGTATATTAAATATATAAGACTAAGTATATAAAATAGTATTACAAATGAGATTTATAAGGCTTTATATAGAGCTGGCATACCAATCCTTGTTATATAACCAAAGTTAATTGAAGATAAAATCTAATCCTAATGATTACAAAAGACAAACTTATTTTTGACTAATTACAAAAGGTAAAATAACTTTCAATTATTTTTCTTTTTTGTCTTTTACCTTCTTATTTCTTTAATCACGAGCCTGCTATTTTTTATCTTGTCTAATACTTTCAGCTTCTTTTTATCTAACAGCATCTACTTTTATCCTGTCGGCTATTCTTGTCTTCATATGTTGACTGGTCTATTCCAGAATATTGAGGTTGATGGTGGGATCTTCATAATCCTTTTCTGATTGTTTCCTTTTTTCACAATATTTATACTTATGATTTACATATTCTAACAATATTTGACATATCTTCTTTTTAGTATTTTTTGGATTGTCTATTTGGCTACTTTTTATTCTGTCATACCATTGATTAAATTCCTAGCCATTTTGCTATTTTGTCCTACTGAGTAAATACATGTAGTAGGTCCTATAAAATAAGTTCACTAGGCTTCAGCTGTAATCATAGTTGTAAAATCTCACTCCACGAAATACAATTAACCAATGTAACCCATGTTAATCAAAGGATTAACTCAAAAAGTAATTATCAAGATTTAATTTAAAAGTAAGGGATTCTAAGTTTTTTCACAATCACAAAGAGTTTAAAACGATCAAGATCTCCTGTATTAAAGTAAAATAAGTTGCACAAGCATGAAATACCTTAGAGGAGTGAAAAAAATTGAAAATAACAAAAAAATAACTCTTTTAATATGTGACAGAGCAATGCACCACGGCCTGTTGCATAAAAAATCAGCAAATTCTGCTGACAATAGAATGGGAAAAAACTTCTGACGCATCTCGATTCTCCGTTTGATGATCGAATGACGTGAACTAAGTGTCTACAGAAAGCTCTTAACACAAACTAGCTAGTGGCATGAGTTTTACTTCCAAAATAAGTCACACTGGGAAGTTGGACACTCAAACACATTTTGACTACTTTTCACAACTTCACATGAAAAGGGTGTCCAAAACCCTTTCTTAATACCTAGACCATATCCATTGAAGTTAAGACTACCAATACAACACATCACAAACACTTAAACAACAATATAACCAAAATTCACTCCTTAACCCCTTTTCACCAAAAATAGAGGGGGAGGCAATTTATCATTACATTGTATCCAAATCAATCAAAACATGTTCAAATTATTATTTTTTATATTTGCACTAGTATTTTGACCCTAAAAATATATATATCTCAACATACACACGCACTTAAGGTTCAAAATACAAATCAAACATTTACGATAATAAAATAGTGTAAGTGAGATAGCATGCAACCTAAAATTGGCAAATATATGTTATTACACAAAATAAACTAAGCTAAAGGCATACAAAAAGGAAATGCTAATTCTTAACCTTTGGAGCCTTCCCTCTCTACACCAAAGTAGAGCCTAAAAGGTGTTAAATGAAAGGGTGAGTCTAGTCACTCAATAACCAAGATAAAACCTATCCTACAGTTATATATCAATTATAAAACAAGCACATGCATATGAAATAAAGCACTAAAACATACTCACACATATTATGACTCATCATTTCTCATTTAACAACTTCTTTATCTCACATATACTAGGTGCATTATCACTGTATTCTCAAATACGTGACATGACCCCTTATTCACACACCTTGCTACAACTCAACACATGTAACATGTCATATATTTACTTAGGCATAATCAACCAACCTTAAAACCTCTTTATTTTTTCAGACTAAAACCGTGAGCTTTAATTGAATAGGGCTCTATTTGTATGACTGGACTACCTAAGCTCACAAATCGTGAGGTGTGACTTAACCAAAGATCACATGGCTCACTTTTGGACCACAACTTTCTTTATTCTTGAATCTTAGGGTGTCTCATACCCTAAACTATTCTCCTTATTGAATTGATGGAGAAAGCTAGGTTCTGATCCCTCAATAAATTATGGGACAGTCCTCAATAAATTGCGAGACAAGGCTATATCTCTGTACACCAGAGGGCAGCCTAGATACCATATAAATTTTTCTTTACTCCTAATCCCCATGCAAATTCTCATCCATTGATCATGCTGTAGACAATATTCACTCTTTTCACTTTCCTTTGCTTATTATCAAAATCAACACATTGGGCTCGTGACCAAATGCTACTAAGTACACATCAATTTCTTGTCCTCACTTATGTCACATGCACCTATTTTTTTAATCACAATTGTTCATATTTATCAAATCAAACACTTACTACTCAGTTACAACACATCATCACATTTATCTTTCTAAAGTTATATGCTTGTTTATAGCTCAAAAACATCTGATTTGGCATTTGCATTTCAAACCACAATAACATCATACACATTCAATTTTCACACACTCATTGAAACTAACACATGCTTTTCACATTGAAAATCTACCCATGCATATAACATTCATATTTATAAGTCAATTTACACCAATTAACATATAACTATTCAAAGTAGCATTTCCTTTGGTTACCTCAAACCTTGAGAGGTCAAAGGTTTACCACTCAATGTTTTAGCTTCCAAATTTGAATTTTCAAGTCAAGATAGATGTCCAAGATGCAAAACTACAATCAATCAAGTTGAATTTCATCAGTATTACTCATTCAAACATTAAACCCTCAATCTCCACTTCTAAAATCCAAAGTCCACTCTACAAGAGTTTGAGTCTATCCTTTAGGTTTATTAATTACCTTTAGTCTCCAATAACATTAATGAACCATTAAATTCTCATTAATGGCATCATAATCTTTCAACCACCCATAATAAATGAAATTTTTGGATATTAATGGTGTCCAACAACCCAAGACACAAAAATTCATTGTACTAGGTTTACATATTTTAATCTACTTTCATTAGCTCCATTTGAGTCAATAAATTCAGACCTAGAACCTATATGAATTGAAAATAATCTTCAATGAGTGTGGTACTTACCTTGGATATTTGCAGCCTCCAAAATACTTCCAATGGCATCCACAAGTAAACCTTAGTAAAGCTTGATGCGTCTTTTGTTTCCTCTTTTCTCTTTTCTCTTTTCTTCTTCTCTTTTCTGTCTCACTTTCGTGATTGATATCTGCAGAAAATGACCATGTGCCACGGCATACGCACAATATGCCATGGCGCATGGCACAAAGAGGTTGTCCCTCACATCAGAAATGTCTGTGCGCCGTGACAGATGATCTCCATGTCGTGACATGTGGCGCAGCAATATGACTCTTTGTTTTTCTTCTCCTTTTGATGCCTAGGTAGCCTAACTTGATATCAGACCCACAATTTAGGTTGAAATATGATCAAATATGCATATTAGATCTCCCTGACCACACATCATCTCAATTTACTTAATTAACCTAATTAGGTTTAATTAATTAAGGGATTAAAAATCAAGATATTACAATAGTCCTGTTCATTTCTTGGAAAATAATGTTGAATTCTTAGGCTCCAATTGTTGAAACCTTATATTGGAAGTCTTCATCATCCTCTATGTCTTCCTTTTTTCTTCTTCAAATTCAAAAGGCTTCTTTGTTATCCCAAAACTTAATAAAATAATTAGAGGATAAAATTTTTCTGAAGTTATTTTAACCATTGTTGAGTAGCACCTAATATATACATGGTACTGAGTTATAATTTTAAAATAATGTTTTGTAGCTTCCTGGACTAATCTTGAGAGTTGAGATATTTCTGACATGTCATTAGAATGATATATAGAACGTACAAGACTATAACTAAAGAGGGTTTTTACAAGTTTTGGAGATGTTCCTAAGTATACAATGACTTTATTGATTTGCCCATAAAAATAAACATTTACAGACACTTATAACTTATCTCAATTTTAAATTAGATCCATGAAATTTATTTTATTTTAATCAAATATTTATAATTTGATTCATTAAATTCTTTAATCCTTATATTTTAAAATACTTGATGTTTTTTAAAAAATAAATTAGAATTTTTATATTTTTATTAAAATAGTATATACCTTTATAATTAATTATATAATTTTTATAACTCCTAATTTATATAATTGGGTTGTCTTATCAATAATTTTTGTACGTATAAAATTTTCAATAAAAAATTAGTAAATGTGTAAATAGTGTATTAAATCAAATTTTATTTTGTAATTTTAGCCAAAAATATTAAATTAAATTTGTAGATACTCCAAGAGTATTTTTGTTTCGAAAAAGTTAATAATTCATTATTAATTTTAACATTAAGGGATTAACACGTCTAGTAAACCAAAATATAAGTGCTTAGTTGAAACAAATGAACTAGAGGACCTAATTCAAACTCAAGAAAAATTCTAGTTTAAATGCTCA